AATAGTAATCAGCCTAGAGCTGCCCTCCACAGCTTCCAGAAGATCCGTTCAGTCATTCACTCACTCACCCACCATTTATTCTGTTACTTGTTTTTTGAGGCACTGCAATGAGACGCTGGCCAGAAGGACAAAACACATATTGGAACTTATAGGTTACTAGAATGGTGCTTTGGAATCTTTTTCCTGTCATGGCACATGTAGAAAAATCATACAATTCGTACGTCCCATTGAGGTAAGCGTGGATGGTGAGGAGTGGATTTAGGAATCTGTATGGGATTTGGTAAAAAAAAAAAAAATCTTTTCTATATATTATGTAATTTTGATTTGAAAAATAAAAGTATTAGAGGCAGCATTAAATGTTGGACTTACATAAAATTTCCAAATAAAGTATTTTCAAAATTTTAGCTTTCCTCTGTGAATATGACTTTTTATTGTCAGGTTTTGTGTTTGAATTGGCTATATACAATAACCACCAAGACTTTTCGAGAAGGATCCCTTCAAGGGGCGCCTGGGTGGCTCAATCGGTTGAGCATCCAGCTTGATTTCAGCTGGCACGTTGTGAGCTAGAGTCTCATATTGAGCTCCATGTGGAGCCCCGTGTTGGACTCTGAGCCTGGTGGGGGAGTCTGCTTGAGATTCTCTCCCTCTCTTTAACAACCCCCCCCCTCCAATTTGTGTGCTCTCTCTCTAAAAATAAATAAATAAATAAATCTTTTTTTTTTTTTAAAGGATCTCTTCAAGTTCTTGATAGCCACGAACAATTGGAAACTCAGGGATAAAAAAGTAAAATTTTAATATTAAAAATTTACAAAAGTTGGATTTATAGCAGCGTCTTCTTTTTCTTTCATTCGTAGTTACGCAACTGAAATTTCTTGTGATACCAATGGGTTTTGAATCCCATCACACTCTTTCGCGTCAAGCGTTTCAAAATAATGACAGCTCTGATTTAAAGCACGCGCCTTCAGAACAAATACTTAAAATATCCACTTGGTACGCACTGGCATGCACTGTTTATGGCCTGCTGGCATCTGCTCTGATTGGCCAATGTCTGTGTCATCTCAGATGTTAAATATTTCTAAAACCACCCTGCCATGAGCATTGTTCAAGCAGTCACTCCGAAGTTAGCTTGGACCCTGTTTGGACATCAGTCAAAAATAGAGATAATCTGATACTAAGGGAAGATGGATGTAGGTCAGCTGTCTGGGGCTGCTCTGGCCCAAATCTCCCAGCCAGTCTCCTTGCTCCTCCTCCTCTGACTGGCTGCACCTTGGGTTCCTGCCCGTCCTCCTTGGGTCGCTAGAAGCCAACTCCTCTAGCAGGGCCCCGAGCCCTCCTCCCCAACGGGCAGCAGTGCACCTGCTGCTGGCCTCTGAGTCTGGGTGGTAATGCATGGCAAGCAGCAAATGCTGCCAATCCTGCTGCCTCCTTGTGGGGACCACAGAGCAGGATGTCAGACTCCGAGGGGCATGACCTGCACGTACCCAGACGTGACTGGCCTCGGGTGGCCCCAAGGACCACGGGGTCTTTATGTTATGTCTCCCCCTCCTCCCGTAACCCAGCTGCAAACGCCACTGTGCTATGATCACTGCTTAAGAAACTCTGCAGTAGACAAAATAAAACATAAGATGATGACACTACCTAGTATTTACCAGTTTTTGGTTCCACGGTGCTCTTCACGGTGGACTTTGTTCAATCCTCATAAGAACAACCAGAAAGGATTATCATTCCATTTGACAGAATAGGAAATAGGTTCAAAAGGGTGAATTGCTCAGGTTGATGTACTAAGTCCACGCTCCCCGCGACTGGGTGCCTCAGGGGTGTACACACGGGTGTGCTAGTTTAAACAATGTCAGGTATTGGAGTGACAGCTTTTCTTAAAAATCGGGGGGAAGCATTTAACTGGTAAATAAGATCAAATGTTCTTTGGTACTATAAACACGTGTTATGAAACTGAATGAAATGGCACACGTTTGCAAGATGAGGCATGAAACCTCGAAGAGACCTTGTGCTGGACGGGGAGCTACTTTGAGCTATTGCCCCAAACCCACAGGGAACGCAAGTGGGTTTTCTCTGCTGCCGTACGTCGTAATTGAGCTACACGGATGGTGGAGCTAGGATTTATTTATTTTTTTCTGATCCCAGCTCCTGTATTTGTCTCCAATCGAAAACTGTGAGAATTTTGAGAGTTTTAAGAGTTCCAGAGAGAGGGAGGGAGAGTTTTTGAGGGTGGGCTTCCGTGGAACATGGGACACGTGGAGATGGGGGTCGTGGGAGAGAACCTTCCAGGCGAGGAGATGGCATGAGCAAAGGACAGGAGGCAAGAAAGTGAGGGCTGTGTAAGGTGAACGATGGCTCAAGGGACAAGTGCACAAAGGTGTGTTTTGGGAAAGGGAATTAGTGGATTGGCTTCGAGGAAGCATTATCTGCTGGGAGAGTGGAGACACCAAAGGAAAGCTGGGGTGGGAGGACGGGAACCACAGGAACAGCAGAGGGAGCGAGTGGGGGGCTTGCAGGCAGGAGACCACTAGGACTTACCAAAGGATGGGGCAGACAGCAGGATCAAGGAAAAGGCTGAACCACGGGCCACTGAGGGGCTGTCAGGACATCCGGGTGGGGAGTCAGAAAGTGAGCAACTGGAACCTCGTGGCTGGGATCTGGTCTGTGAACTACCTGCCTCCAGGTGAACATCGTCACCTTGATATTGAAAGATTGCCATCAGAGAAGGAGCTGTCAGGAGAGCAGGAGGGCACGCCTGATGGAAGGTTTAGGAATTTTTAAAAAATATTTTTTTTAAAGATTTTATTTATTTATTCATGAGAAACACAGAGAGGAGAGAGGGAGAGAGGCAGAGACACAGGCAGAGGGAGAAGCAGGCTCCATGCACCGGGAGCCCGACGTGGGACTCGATTCCGGGTCTCCAGGATCACGCCCTGGGCCGAAGGTGGCGCTAAACCCCTGCGCCACCCGGGCTGCCCTAAAAAATATTTTTATGTATTTATTCGACAGAGAGAGAGAGAAAACAAGCAGGAGGAGCAGCAGAGGGAGACGGAGAAGCAGGCTCCCCACCGAGCAGGGAGCTGGATGTGGGGCTCAATCCCAGGACTCTGGGCTCATGCCTCGAGCCAAAGGCAGCTGCTTCACCGACTGAGGCACCCAGGTGCCCCCCACCCCCCATGGAAGGTTTAAAGGAAGGGCGTGTTCAGCAGTAGGGAAAAATGGGAAGAAGTTGGAGTTATTGCCATGTAGTGACTGGCATGCAGTAGGCACTCAAATATTTGTGAGAAGAATGAAAGAATAAACCAAGAGGTAAGAAAACGATACGTCCAATGGTGTAGGAAAAGACGTTAGGGTTCAAAGCTGATGGCCAAGAAAGAATTTTTGAGGCATCTTTGGGGCAAAAAGGTGGTTTTATTAAAGCACAGGGACAGGACCCGTGGGCAGAAAGAGCTACATTGGGGTGACGAGGAGGGGCCCATTATAGACTGTCAAGTTGGGGGGAGTTAGGGAGCGTGTGAGTCTCTAAGGAATTTTGGAAATAAGGTTTCGAGGACCTTGAGGGGGTTGGCTATTGTTGGGGAAAGGTCACTTATTACCGGCTAATAGAACTTGAGTCATGAGACCCTTCAGATGTGTATCGGTGGGTCATGTGCTTGGGGGATGATCGCCAACAAGTATCTTGGGGAGTAGAGATAAAGGAAGTTTCCAAAGGAATCTTTATATGTTAGAGTCACAGGGTCCTGGGGGTTGGGTCAAGATTGCCTCTTGCCCTTAGCAAAGTATGAATCTCAAGGCAGCTGAGTCCCTAGTGGAATGTCCCTCTGCCTGTTTCAAGGACTTGTCCCTGGGCTGTAGGTAGGAAGGCAATTTAATAATTTCTCTCCTGCCTCTGTTTCCCCCCATCATCTGGGACAAGCCATGTGAAAGATATAGTGGTACAATCTGCACGTAGGGATGCTGAGGGATTGTTGTTTAATTTCTGGAAAATGCTCTGCAGTTTCTTTCAGCACTGAAAGCGCATTATTGACCTTTAGGAAACTTTGCCCCCATCCTGCACAGCGGGGGCTGGGTGGTGTGGGGTTTAAGGTGCAACTTTCATGTCAAAGTTACAATTTAAAGCAAACTCGGACCCTTTCCATTCAATCTCAACTTCCAGAGATTAAAAGTGTATAATACCACTTCATGGCTCACATAACCTCATCACAAATTACTTTTTTCCTTTCCCTGGGGGGTTAGACATAAAGAGGAGTGCAGATTAGGGACTCCCTGGAGTGGGACCTTCACTAGGAGTGGTCTTGGAGCCCTGCTGGAAAAGGTTATTTAGAAAGACCCTACTTTAGGGACGCCAGGGGGGCTCAGCGGTTTAGCACCTGCCTTCCACCCAGGGCGTGACCCCGGGGTCCCGGGATTGAGTCCCAGCTTGGAGCCTGCTTCTCCCTCTCCTGTGTCTCTGCCTCTCTCTTTCTCTCTCTGTGTCTCTCATGACTAAATAAATAAAAAATCTTAAAAAAAAACCACTCTATATTATTTTTTTAAATGCATTTATAGGGGTGCCTGTGTGGCTCAGTGGGTTGCATCCTACTTTTGATTTCCGCTCAAGTCATGATCTCAGGGTGTGAGATGGAGCCCCTCCATGGGCTCTGGGCTCAGTGCAGAGTCTGCTTCTCTCTCTCCTCCCTCTGCCCCTCCCACCCCCTCTCCTTCCGAGCTCTTTCTAAAATAAGTAAATCTGTTTAAAAAAAGGAATTACCAATTTCTCTTCCTTAGAGAAAGTTTTTTTCCCTTTAAGTCTTTTGGCTTTTAAAGATATTACTCTGGAAGGGAGAAGCAGGGGCCCAGGGCTTGATTTGGGGCACGCAGGCACCGGGCAGGTGCGGTGCAGGGTAGTGGGGAGATAGTGGGGAGACCGCGCCTGGCGAGAGCGCCCGAGGCCAGAGTCCAGGAGGCGGGGAGAGAGCGGCCCCTTGGAGGCGGCTCCCGGGGCCACCTGCTTTTTGAGCGCGGGCTGCTGGGTGCAGACAGGAGGCGACCCAGGGCTGCTGGGTGCGGACAGGGGGCGACCCAGGGCTGCTGGGTGCGGGCAGGTGACGACCCGGGGCTGCTGGGTGTGGGCAGGTGACCACCCGGGGCTGCTGGGTGCGGACAGGTGACGACCCGGGGCTGCTGGGTGTGGGCAGGTGACCACCCGGGGCTGCTGGGTGTGGGCAGGTGACCACCCGGGGCTGCTGGGTGCGGGCAGGTGACGACTCGGGGCTGCTGGGTGCGGGCAGGTGACCACCCGGGGCTGCTGGGTGCTGACAGGGGGCGACCCAGGGCTGCTGGGTGTAAGCAGGTGACGACCCGGGGCTGCTGGGTGCAGGCAGGGGGCGACCCGGGGCTGCTGGGTGCGGGCAGGTGACGACCCGGGGCTGCTGGGTGCGGGCAGGTGACCACCTGGGGCTGCTGGGTGCGGGCAGGGGGCGACCCGGGGCTGCGGGCTGCGGGCAGGGGGTGACCCGGGGCTGCTGGGTGCGGGCAGGTGACCACCCGGGGCTGCTGGGTGCTGGCAGGTGACCACCCGGGGCTGCTGGGTGCGGGCAGGTGACGACCCGGGGCTGCTGGGTGCTGGCAGGTGACCACCCGGGGCTGCTGGGTGCGGGCAAGTGACCACCCGGGGCTGCTGGGTGTGGGCAGGTGACGACCCGGGGCTGCTGGGTGCGGGCAGGTGAGCACCGGGGGCTGCTGGGTGCAGGCAGGTGACCACTGGGGGTTCCGGGTGCGGGCGGCATGCTGCGGCGGGTGGTGGCCGGGTGCGCTCGGGCTCTGGGCGCCGGCGGGGGTGCACGTCCTGCCTCGGGGCTCAGCCCCCCGGGCCGCAGCGCCAGCAGCGGGTCCCCCGATGCGCCCCGGAACCAGCCCCCCAGCTCCGAGTTCTTGGCTCGGCCGGTGGGCGTCTGCTCCATGATGCGGCTGCCGGTGCGAGCCTCCCCGGAGGGGCTGGACGCCGCCTTCGTCGGGGTGCCCCTGGACATTGGGACCTCCAACCGGCCTGGGGCCAGGTAAGGTCCCAAGGATTAGGGGCACGTGGCTGCACCGCCCGTGGCCACTGGGGGCGGAAGACAAAGGGACAGGTGCCTGCGCTCACCCAGGGTGGGGTTGGCAGTTGGTGCGGGCTTCAGAGCTGGGGGGGGGGGCTCGACACCTGTGTCATCCGTGGGTGACCGGAGCCTTCTCCACGCACTGCTTCCTGAGCCTCCTGGGATGGGGGCTTGGGCTTGCAGGGGCAGGGGACATCATTTCTGAGAACAGAGGAAACTGGATGCTCCTTCCCCAAACCATCTAGATGCCACTTGATAAAGAATTGCTCATATACAAGGCTTTTTTTTTTAAATAAATTTTCTTATTTTTAAGTAGTCTCTACATCCAGTATGAGGCTCGAATTCACAACCCCGAGATCAAGAGTCCCACGCTCTACCTCTGCCAACTGAGCCAGCCAGGCACCCCAAAGTGTTTTTTCTAGGATCAAAGTAAAATCTGTTTTCTTACTCAAGGAGCATCAGCTGTTTCTGATTCAGCTCAGCCACTTTACATCTAAGAGTCTGAAGTATAGATGCCACCATTTATTAAATGTCTCCTAAATGCAAGGCGCTTTGCGTAGATGACCTCACTCAATTCCTCCTAATCTGTAATCTGTGAAATTAGGAGACTGAGGCTCATGGAGATTAAGAAATTATCCAATGCCATTTAGTAAATTGGTGATGGGCGGGCTCCTAAATCTGTGCCTTTAATCTCTTCGAGTACATAGACTGGATCAGTGATTCGAGACCAGGGGTGATTTTGCCTCCAGGGGACATTGATGGTATCCGGAGGCCTTTTTGGTTATCCCAGCTTGCTACTGGCATCAGGGGAAACATCCTACAAGGCACCCGATAGCGCCCCCCTCCCGCCAACATCAAGGATGCATCCAGCCCGGAGTGGGAGCAATGCAGAGGCGGAGAAATCCTGGCCTAGGCAGGACCTCGACCTTTTAGGGATGGTTCACGGGATGATTCTTCCTTTTCCAGATTTGGACCCCGGCGGATCCGGGAAGAGTCAGTGCTGCTTCGGGCAGCCAACCCTAGCACGGGGGCCCTCCCCTTCCAGTCCCTCATGGTTGCAGACCTAGGCGACGTGAATGTCAATCTCTACAACCTTCAGGACAGCTGCCGTCTAATTCGAGAGGCCTATGAGAAAATTGTAGCGGCTGGTTGTATTCCCCTGACCTTGGGTAATGGCATCTGCGTAGACAGGTGCAGCTCTGCACTGAGGGTCCGTTTACTGTGGGCCGGGGTGTAGCTGCTCCTTCAGGGCAAGCCACTATGAGTATGGAGACAGTGGGAAAGAGGAGGTTTTTAATTTATTTGTTTTAACCCCTGGGGAGAGGATGTTTTCATTTTTGGACTAGTATGACTGACAGCGATGGACTAGGGTGGGGCAAGTGAGGGGTTCATCATGGGGGGGTTGCCAAAAGGTCAACAATAAATATGATGGACGTTTCTCTTTGGCCTCAGGCTCCAGTATAGTGCAGAATAGCACTGTTACTGGTCCTGTCTTTAAAATTTGTCACAGAGGGGCCTCTGAGTGGCTCAGTCCGTTGGGCATCCGACTCTTGGTTTCCACTCAGGTCATGATCTCAGGGTCCTGGGATCGAGCCCTGTGTCTGACTCTAGGCTCAGCATGGAGTCCACTTGCCCATCTTTCTCTGTTCCTCCTCCAACTCGTGCTCTCTCACACAAATCCATAAATCTAAAAAAAAAAAATTATCATGGAATTTTTTTTGGATTGACCTTGATTTTTAAAAGTATTACAGCAAATTAGTATTTGTATTAATGACTGCATTTTTTCATGTCTCTTAAATTTGGCAAGTGCCTCTACCTACTTCACCTTTGTCCCATCCCTTGATTCCAGGCTGGGGGAAGGGTTACAATAGGAGCTCAGTTGTGAATTTTTAACTATTTCAAGGACATGTTTTTCTTTTTCTTTTTCTTTCTTTCTTTCTTTCTTTCTTTCTTTCTTTCTTTCTTTCTTTCTTTCTTTTCTTTTCTTTTCTTTTCTTTCTTTTTCTCTTTTCTTGAGAGAAAGACAGAAAGCTTGATGGAGCATGCACACCAGGAGATCAGGGTGGGGGGTGGAGGGGCAGAGGGAGAGAGAGCCTTGCCCACTCAGGGCTCCATCTCACAACTCTGAGATCATGACCTGAGCCGAGATCAAGAGTTGGACGCTCAACTGACTGAGCCACCCAGGGGCCTCTCAAGGACATCTCATTAAAAATGAGTTTATTTGAGAGAGAGCTGCAAAGGGGTGTTTTCTCCTCATCAAGGTCTCTATCAATCTATAGAACAACTTTCCCCTTGTCCTCCCCAGCCCCTCCTCCCCACTCTTACATTTCTTTCTCTTCTAGTTCACAAATAGTTAAAATGACACAGGCCTTTTTCTAAATATCCAAGGGTGCTTTTGCCAAAAGAGAGGGCCGAGCCTGCAGAACATCGTGGTGCTGAGTGTGATTTCTGGATGGCATGGTTTGAAAATCTCAGCTTCACCTCTCACTAGCTATTTATGCTTCATTTCCTCTCTTGTAAAATGGGAATAGCACTAGCAGCATCTCCCTCATTGTTTTGTGTGAGGGGCGTACAGTGCAAGTGCATATGAAGTGTCCGGCATCGTGACTTGCATATTTTAAGCTTCAATAATTGTAAGCTATTATTGCTATTAATAGTGATCATAGTAATACGTTTCTAGGCCCGAGCTGTCCTGTACAGTAGCCACTAGCCACGTATAGTTAAAAAAAATTAGAATTAATTAAAATTAGATAAAATAAAAAATTCAGTTCCTGCATGGCATGAGCTATATTCCAGTAGGCACAGGTGGTTAGTGGCCACCATGCTGGCCAGTGCAGATAGAGAACATGCCCCTCATTGCAGAGAGTTCTATTGGACAGAGTTGTTCCAGGCATTTTACCTGTAAGCTTTGTTTCCTTTTTTTTTTTTTTAAGATTTCATTTATTATTTGAGAGAGAGAGAGAGTGAGAGAGCACAAGCAGGGGGAGGAGCAGAGGTAGAGACACAGGCCGAGGGAGAAGCAGGCTCCCTGTGGGGAGCCCAATGGGGGACTTGATCCCAGGACCCCGGGATCACACCCTGAGCCGAAGGCAGATGCTCAACCTCTGAGACCCCCAGGCACTTCATTTTCCTCTTTTAAATGACAATGTAATCCCAAACATCCAGTGGTCATTTTCATATCACTGAACAAGATCTCGTGGAGGTGAGGTTATAGCTCTTCGGTCTAATCGAAAGGGTGGCACCATTGGGTCAGTGGAAGATGGCTCTATCGAATACACGGTCCTCTCATCTTATCCACATTCCAGATATTTTCTTCTTCCTCTTTGCAGGCGGAGATCACACAATCACATATCCTATATTGCAAGCGATGGCAAAAAAGTAAGTCTCAAGTGTCTGGGCGTACACAAGGGTTTCAAAATTCAGGAGCTGAGTTGTTTGCTGCTAGATGGTATCAAGTGACGTCTGCTGGCTCAGGTTATCTGGGGTGATAGGAAATTCCCGACCGAGTCGCTTCTGTGGATCAAAATTAAGGTCGAGCTCCAGGTGTCTCTGTCAGTCAGCAGCTGGGAGCCAAGTCACTTATTATCAACGCTCGTGGCTCCCCTTGCTTGTCCTAGCTCTGCTCTGGTGTGCATGCTCAGCGTTCGTCTCTGTTTTTGGAAGATGGGGCCCTCGTGAGACACTCCACCCCAGTTCACTTCAGTTTCTGTTTTGCCTCAAAGGCCAAATACACAAGGCTGTGGCTTGCAGAGGAGAGGGCCCTGTTTCTTCCTGAAAGGGCCCCTCTCCCAGAGAATGAGAGAATGGATTTTCCAGTCGCAGAAGGTCTACCAGGGATTAACTGACTTTGGTTAATTAGTTTGAAAAAGAGGCAGAAGGGCCAAGGCGCTGGCAGATCCAGAATATGGGAAGGATATGTGGGTAGCATTGTGGCTGTTGGTGGGTGGGTACTGGGTACAAGTCTTTTCTGGAAGCTGTGCTTGCTTAGCATTGATTTAGATTGTATTTCTTTTGGGTGGTTGGCGGGGTCGTCGGAGATTATGGAGAGAGAGCTGGGTTGAAGCTGCCGCTTGGTGCCACAGTGGGAAGAAGCGGGGCTCTGATTAGTTCTGCAAGCTCCCCTGAGCCTCAGTCCTTCATTCTTATCCACCCGGGGGCCTCTCCATCTCTAAGTGCAGAAAATTCTGGGTGGTAGGTCGTGGCTGGCAGCTAAAGCAAAGCGCGTGCCCATCTTCTGCTGGACTTCTCTGGCTTTATTATTCTGAGATGCTAAGTGATTTGAGGACAGAAACCCCTAGCAAGGCTGGTCCTTGATGCCAGGTGTCCCGTGGCTATGAGTTGTCAGGTTTGGAAGTTCGGGTGGCCCGGAGGGCGGCCGTGCTCAGGTCCCCGAGGAGGCCTGGCCCCTGAGCTGCCTGTTGTCACCAGGCATGGCCCCGTGGGGCTGCTGCATGTGGACGCCCACACGGACACGGCCGACAAGGCCCTGGGAGAGAAGGTCTATCACGGGACGCCCTTCCGCCGGTGCGTGGACGAGGGCCTCCTGGACTGCGAGCGCGTGGTGCAGGTCGGCATCCGGGGCTCCGCCACGACCTTGGATCCCTACAGATACAGCCGGAGCCAGGTGACAAAGTGCATTTCTCTGCCCTCCTGTGCCCCCGGCCTGCAAAGTGCATTTCTCTCTGGTGCCTGTTCCGTGGCGGGTGTGGATTCAACAGGAACTTTGATGACCATGTTCAGAAAATTGGGGGGCGGGGGGCGAGTTTGCCTCCAGAGGACCGCGTGGAGGAGAGAGGGTGTTGTTAGTTGGTGAGGCTGAGGGGGCCTCTCATCGCTGGGCTGGGGGGACAGGCGGGAACACAGCGGCCTCTGGGCGGTGGCTGCCTGGGAAAAGGCCTGCAAGGGTCTGAACCCAAAGCCGGTGGCCACCTTTCTCGTTCTTGTCCTCACCCCCGATCGGCAGGGTGGCTTCCAGGTAACCACGAAGGACAAGATCCCACCAGGAAAGACCCAAGACCCCTGCTTTTGTTTTTGAAGATCATTCATTCATTCATTCATTCATTCATTCATTCAAGACACAGAGGCAGAGACCCAGGCAGAGGGAGAAGCAGGCTTCCCGCGGGGAGCCCGATGGGGACTCGATCCCGGGACCCCGGGGTGACGGCCTGAGCCCAAGGCAGCCGCTCCACGGCTGAGCCCCCGGCGCCCCGACCCCCGCTTTCCGGGTGGGGAGGCTGGTGCCCTGCACGCTGTGCGGAGCCGCCCGCAGGAGCTTGCCCCGGCCGAGCCTCCCTGTGGCCCGACCCCGGCGTCAGCTTTGACTCACTCGTTGCTTCTTCCCCACCTGCTGTTCCTCCCTAACTCAGCGGTGAAGTGGGGGTGATGGTTCCCTGCTGGTGGGATCGGGGTCCCGTGTGCCCAGCGCTCCGCTCCCCTCCCCGCCAGGGCTTCCGGGTGGTCCTGGCCGAGGACTGCTGGATGAAGTCGCTGGTCCCGCTGATGGCAGACGTGAGGCGGCAGATGGGGGCCAAGCCCCTTTATATCAGCTTTGACATCGACGGCCTGGATCCTGCCTACGCCCCAGGGACAGGAACACCTGAAATTGCGGGGCTCACCCCGAGTCAGGTGAGGCGGTTCCACCCGGAACGACTCCTGAGGGTGACGATTCCAAGGACTCGGGTGGGTCTTCAGGGTCGGGACAGGGTTTTGCAAGGGGCGCGGGTAGGCCTTTCTGCACGTTGGCCACTCTTGTAGGGTGAGGAGTGGGCAAGGACTCTGCGAGGACTCTCGTTTCCTCTCGGGGTTATGACAGTCTGTTGTTGGAGCTTTCTAGCCCCTGATCCACCTGTGGTTGGTTCCTGGGGACACATTACAGCATCCCCTCTTAGAAACACGAGACTGGGTAGCCCTGGTGGCGCAGCGGTTTGGCGCCGCCTGCAGCCCGGGTTGTGATCCTGAAGACCCGGGATCGAGTCCCACATCGGGCTTCCTGCATGGAGCCTGCTTCTCCCTCTGCCTGTGTCTCTGCCTCTCTCTCGCTCTCTCTGAATGAATAAATAAATAAATCTTTAAAAAAAAAAAAAAAAAAAAAGAAACACGAGACTTAGCTTTCTGGGGTTGCTCATGATGGGATTAACCACCTACCGTGGAACTTCAAGAGTTTTAGAAACATCCAAATAAAGCTCCCTTGAGGTGTGCTGAGTGTAAACACAGGCGGGAGCTGGAGGGTGGTTGTAACTGGAAGGCCAGCTCCGGGAGGGCAGGGCTTTTCTTTCATTTACTCCCCTATCCTCGGAGTCTAGGATAGTGCCTGACGCACAGAGCAGGAACTCCTGGACGTTTGTGTGAATGAGTGAAGAGCACTTCCACTCGATCAGTTATCTCACCTCCTCTAAGAAAGGGGCCTTTTCGCAGCTGCCTCTTCAAGGCCATTCTCTGCCAGTTCCCCTCAGGGAGATTTCTAACACGCAGTCCTCATTCCTCAGCTTATCATTCTGGCCTTTTCACCGGCAGAGTGGAAACTCTTTTAGCCAAAATGACCTCTTCCTACCATCCCCCTCACTTATCCTGTCTTCTGGCCACATCTAACTACTGGTATTTCTTTCCATCTTGGTGACTTTGCATGTGTCTGTCTGTCTGGGCTGCCCTTCCCCTACTTATTTGCTTGGTCTATTCCTTGGGCTCTTTCCATCTTGGAGAGGGAGGCCTTCCCCCATCTCTTTGGGCTGTTTCATGGTATACTTTTCTACACTTGCTTTAAAAAACTTTTTTCATAAGATTTTATTTTTTAAAGTAATCTCTACACCCAACATGGGGCCGAACTCACAACCCCGAGATCAAGAGTTGCATGCTCTACTGACTGAGCCAGCCAGGCTCCCCTACACTTGCTTTTCTAGAAGCCTTTAATGCACGACGTTGAAACGATTGGTTTGCTTGGTTTCACCAACACACAGTGGAGTCCTTGGGAATGGGGGCTGTGCTTTGGCCATTTGTGTGCCCGCTGTTGATAAATGTTTACTGAGGAAAAGCAACAGTTCCAAGTCAAAGGGTGGGCATGCGTTGGGAGAGATCCACTGGGACCTCTGTGGTTGCTTTTCCTCGTGGATGGTTACTGCTGTGGACAACTCAGGCTTCGTCTTGGACAGGGGCTGGAAATCATCCGGGGTTGTCAAGGCCTGAACGTGGTGGGTTGTGACCTTGTGGAAGTTTCACCGCCCTACGATCCTTTTGGTGAGTAAACGAGAATACTAGGATCTGTGGGCAGCTCCTAGTTTAGATTATATTCATCTACTTGGTAAGTAGAAGATGGATGGGTCCTTTTGTATAACTCGGGAGCCTGTGGAGTATGTTCTGCAGTGGAGAAAATAAACCTATTACCGCACACCTTCCAAACATGAGCTAATTAACAACACCCCGGGGAGGTGGCTGTTACTGGTTTGCCCGCCCAGCAGCAGAAGAGAACACCAGCCTGCAGTTTATTAGTAGGGTGGCATAGTTCCATCCCCCTTTGATATTTCATTGAAAAGTGAATTGTCGAGGTGTAAGTGGTTTAGGAGAGGTATTCGAAGCAGATGCCATCACAATAATTTCAACGTAGAGAAGCTTACAGACTTGGGCCTATTAACGTCAGAGGGGAGGCCATTAAATACAAGACACCATTTACTATAGGTTTTCCTTTGGGGGGTGTGAATCTGTTTTCAGAGTAGAACAAAGAACCGTCTGAATTTCAGAAAACTATTTCTGAATGATGCTTGATGGAGAGTATCAGGGAAAGCACATCCACAGGGTGGCTGGGTGGCCCAGAGAAGAGCATGGAAGTGGGCTGGGAGTCTGGAAAGGGAAGAGGGCGGAGTACGGAGAGGCTCCAGCCTTAGGTTTTGTTTCTTTGTAGGAAACACGGCCCTCCTGGCTGCTAACCTGCTGTTTGAGATGCTGTGTGCTCTCCCCAAAGTGACAGTCGTCTGAACCTCGGAATCTTCGAGATACAACAGGCTGTGTTGATGACAGTTCTCAAGGATTTATGCGCAAGCTGAGTCCTGGGCAACTCTGAGTACTCAGGAGTTTATGCCAGTACAACTTTCTGCTGAGAAATGTCCCTAGAGGCTGTAAAATCAGGGCATTCAGTAGAACTCCAATCCAACGGCTAATATTTCTGTGGGGTTTGAGTCAACTATAAACAGAGAAGTACTTGTGCTGTTTTGATGAGATGGTGGAGGATTGGGTGGGGCGGGGGGGCAGGGAGCCAAGGAGCATTTGGTTCGCAAAGATGATCTAAAAATTGGGAGAAATGGAATAAAAAAGCCCTGTGACATAATACTGTATAAACATCCTGCATTTCTCTAGTTTCTTCCTTTACACTGTGGCTCCTCCTGAGGAACTCACGGCTGCACCTGGGTTTTAGGACCACTGTGAACACAGAAAGTTTGAATGAAAGTAACTTGCAGATCCTAATAAAGAAACTTGCCACTTAGAAGCCCAGGAGGGTGCATGAAATGTCTTTTCAGCCAGACATCAGGTGGCCTCCAAAGAGCCCTTGGTGACACTTCCCTAACCCACTCCCCGTCTCAGTTTCGCATTCTCTCCTCTTGGAGCTGATACATCCTCCCTGACGGCAACTCCTGAAATCTGCAGCGAAGACTGAGGCGTGTGTCATGTGCAAATTCTTTCATTGCTAAGGTGTCCACAAATCATCACCTCCCAATGCAAGAGCGACGTGTAATCATCACACGTTAAAATAGTTTATTTGTTTCCAGTCTGTAATATTCTTAAAACAAAAATAACATCAGCTTCAGTGCCTGTTCACAATACAAAACAAAAACAACATAAAAAAGACACCATTTGCCAAATAAGTTATTTGTTCCTAAGAGTATCAAAAGTGCAAAATATTCACCTTCTTTTCAGATCGGTCTCTAAAGCTCCATCCTCCTCCTCGACAAGCTCAACGGACAGATTCAGCAGCTGCCACACTGCATTTGTGTTCAAGGGACAAGGTGAGGCATTTGGATGTGAGCAATATTTCATCTGCAAAGATAGTCTGCGTCGGCATTTAAAGAATTTTACTTGGGAAAAAAGTTTGAGTGTTTGCTTCTCATCTCTTTTCCCAAACAAAGCATGTCAATTAAAAAACACATTCAGATTTCATTTCTTTTTAAAACAGGAAAACATGCCTGTGCTGGATGAGGAGGAAATAAACCCATTACTTTGAAAAGTACGACCAAATTTTCAGGGTTGGTAACTGATGGCAGAGAGAGACCATGGTGCCTCAACAGAGGTCAGGGCAGTCTTGCTCACTGAAATGCTGCTGACTCAGACCTGACAATCTCTTACACAAATTATGCCACCAGCACCTGGATGATAAAAAAAAACCCCCAAAAAAACAACAAAAAAAACCCCAACTTTGTAAGTAGTTGTGTATTCTACAAAGACTTGTTTTAGGCCAGTTTTCATCCCCATCTGCTAAATATGATGCGTGGGCTCTACCAATCAGAAGAGCTTACTTCTAAAGACAGAACAATGCTGTCAGTCTCAAGATATTCAAAGACCAGGAGGTTCACTTAAAACCAAAATTAGGTCTGTGTGATTCCACACAAGAGAAGGAGAGACGGTGGCATTGGCTGAGCAGGACGATGGCTCATACATTTGACACAACAGTAAACAAATTCATGGAAACATTCAGGAGGAAAGGCTTGGGTGGTCAAGGGCCATGTTCAATGTAAAGTAGAACCTTCCTAGTGTCCTCTTGGGGGACATCTCTCCCAGCCCTGAACAGACCTGTGGAAGAAATTTTGGACTGAAAAATTCGCCAGGAATGTTTTTAATCCTATCTATTCTCACTTTCCTTTCTTAGTACAAATGGAGGGTGCAGCTGTCTGTCTGAAGGTGCTTTTTATTTTAATGAGACACATTTTTGAAATGAACAAATCTGGTGGGGTGGGGGCTGGTTTTCATAAATTAAGGTCAGGGATCCCATTAGTACCAGAAATTAAAAACCCACCACTGAACCAAAATACTACTCACATCAGCAACTTGGCCATCAAAGACCAAGAAAATAATTTTGAGGCTGGTGCATCAAGGAGCCAAATGAATCCCTTAATCACGCCTGCCTGGGACAGGTGCCAGGAGACATGGCATTCAGAGTAAGTGTCTAATTTTTAGAGGATCATGTGGTGGGGGTGTGGGGGTGTGGGGGGGGAAGCCTGGCAGTGATTTTTCTTTCTTTCTTTCTTTTTTTTTTTTTAAATAAAGCTATAGACTCCATGGAAACCATAGGGATTCCTGGGCTTAAATAATTTATTACTTGCCACTGTAGCTCAATATTTGGATTATTCAGGATCCAAATGGCTTAGTTTAAAGCAATGATGATTAAAGAAATACTAACTTAGTAGATGTCCCATCACCGACTCTGACACTTTGCTTTACAAAAGGGCAATTTTCTTTGACATCTGAACCGACCACTCTTTGAAGCTGCTCAAACTCCACTGGTGGTTTTGCCCTTAAAAAAAGAGAGAGAAAAAAAGGCAAACTCTCTAACTGGCAGGTGTGCTCCACTGCGCACTGGAGTTCTGGAAGCTGGGGTGCTGATGGTAGATCGGACCGTGTTAGTGGTAGGGCGGCTGGGAGTTGAGAGTGAAAGCAATTGAGATACCACGATATAGGCCAGAAGCTCAAAGGAAGCCTTTTGCCAAACAGGGTTCTAGAACAAGTCTTGGCTCGCTTGTCACAAAAGAGGGCTCAAAGTTACAGCACTTTTGGGGTAACAGTGTTCAAAATACAATTGCTGAGAAATTTTTAAGTTCCTTGATACAAAGACATGTCTGGTATTTTACTAAAGAGACACCACTGGAGTGAAGAGGTTCCTCGAGCCTGACTCCTGGCAGGGAAGGCAGGGAAAAGGTGTCTTCGGTTTAACATCTACTGGGTTATAGCAGCTTATCTCTACGTCCAGAGAACAAGATTACAAATATGGCTCCTAAGATTCATACCCTAAAATTGACAGAGGCAGAAAGGCGTGTGAAAACATACACGTAAATGGCTCAAAGTCATTACAGTACTTCTTGCGGAGCAGACCGTTCCGGGCTACATTTAGCGCTGGGGCAGGCGGCTGCTGGGCCGCTACGGGGTCACCTCCATCACCACCCAGCCCTCTGTTCTCTTGTTTCGGGAAGAAAACCACACTCCCTCGCAGGACCCCCACTTATCCCTAGTTTTTTTAAATGTGGCTGGCAAATTGCTGGCAGGGGGATACCCCCCAAATATACTTTTTAGCCACTGACTACCAGAAAAACTACCAAATGGGAGATTGCTTGGAAGCAGGCCCCATGAGGATGCAGGGCCTGGAAGCTGCTGCGGGCCGTCCCACTGACACAGCATGCGCCGGGCGGAAGCACAGCGGGGGCGGGGACCCCACCAGCACTCCAGGCTCGCGGGGTTCCTGTTGCAGGCGGGCGCCCTGTGCTTCTCCCACAGCACAGGGACAGGACCGGGCAGGGTGACGTGAGCACGGGACAGGGATGACAAAGGAAGGGGGAATGAGCAGTCTACTTTAAATAGTGCGGCATTCAAACGAGGGGGAAAAAAACCCAAAGGAAAATATTTCGATCTAGGGAATTCAGCTTGAGGTGTTTTTCACTCCTAGGTTAGAACGGGACAAAGGAAAGATTCTTCTAGCCGTTGTTCTGGAAGAATAATCTAGAATCTATTCTCTGTCCGTGGTGATAGGTTGAGTCCTGAAAAGACCTGTTCCCGGGGGGCCTATTAAAAAGCCGGAAGAGTTAAAGTCTCCCTTGAGCTCCTTCAGTCTAACTCAGGCCACGACGGGATATAGAACCTCTGCAAGGAGCCTTCGAGCAGGCGCTCCATCCATAAGGACAACTTGCTCAACTTCCCTTTGATGGGCCTGGGTCCAAGGCCGCAGGAGGATTTCCCTCTTGAGTCGCCCAGATGGAGGGAAGAGTCCAGATCACTGCACGACCCCAGGGCTTCCTCCTCTTCCACTGCCTTCTGGGGCTTGAAGAGACAGAAGTACTTCTTGTGGCCATTCAAAGCCAGCACATAACCTGTGTAGTCACGTTCCATGAAATGCTTGTCGTACTGGTTGGGGATCGGGGCTGCATCCTGAGCAAATTCTAGTAAGTATTCCAGCCATTCTCTGTGTTTATCTAGACTCAGGAAGGAGAAGTGCAGGCAGCTACTCCTGTCGGAAGAACACAGTGAAGATGTAGGGAAGAGCCCGCACACTCAACTGCAGGGGACGTAACCCGTCAGTCAGACCTCCAGCACCAGGGGGAGGCTCTGTGCTCGATGGGGCTCGAATACAGAAAGGATGGAGGATTCTGGTGGGACGCAAGGGCTTCCGCAACAGTTGTAACGCTCCACTCACCCATCTCCCTCCCCGTCCCTGCCGGGTGCCAGTTATGTCACTCTTGGTGTCTGGCTTCAGGAAAACCCATGAGAGCTAGCGTGAGAGTTCCCTGAGAGGCTCACGGAAGAGGACTGAGGTCAAGGTCTGCTGTTCGGAAGCACAGGGACACGGAGTCAGGGGGAGAAAGACCCCCTAATGGTGGCTAAGATTTCTGAGCTTGAAAGGCCACGGCCAACATCTCACCGCATGTGCGAAGAAAGCCCCTCATGGTCAAGGAGGAAAGAACATAATTCTCTGGTCCCCTCCTCCCCCAAATGTGCACGTTCTCTCCTTTCCCTCTCTCGCCCCCGAGCTTACCCAGTGAACGTGTAGACCTCCAAAGCGAATTTCTGTAGTAGGCTGGTCTTGGTGGAATTTGACAGGATGAGGACTACGTTCATGTGGCCTGGCCTCAGGCGGACCAGGTTACTGGTGTATGTGACATCTGTGAGCTCAGTTACCTCCACAAAGCCTTTCTTAGGAATCCTGCTGTGGAGAAGAGGTGAGGAATTACGATGTTATCAGGACAGGAGAATGCCATTGCTTTGAAAAGAAACAAGGGGAAGAAAATGCTATGCTCCAACCAGACTAGCTATGTTATTTAATATTCTAGACCCCCCCTTGGCGTCCTGGGCCCATAAAGACCTTTTCACATGCTGCTGTTCAGTAGGTGTAGAAGCAGCTTTAGGGGAGGATGAAGGTAGTCCACACGGTTATGGGGCTGCAGCCTTCTCTGCTCCTGGCTCGTCTAGCATCTCTGACGGGCTCTGCTTCCAGCCCCCATCAGGAAGTTTGAGACTGAGAGGCGGAAGGTACTGAGGAGAACAGAAGGAGGTCCTGTGTCTAGATGCCTACAGGGTCTCAGAAACACTAACCAGCAGCTGACTTTTCCCTCACATGTCACACACGAGGAGGTGACCCGCGTGCTCATATCTACAAGGTTCGTGGAGGCCACGCTATCTGACTGCGCGCCTGTGGCTCTCCTGCCCCGTGGGGTTGCGGGTGGGTGTGTGGTTAGAGAGACCTGCTGTTTTCTTTCTTTCTTTTTTTTTTTGTTTATTTATTCATTCATGATAGACAGAGAGAGAGAGAGAGAGAGAGAGAGAGAGGAGGCAGAGACACAGGCAGAGGGAGAAGCAGGCTCCATCCCGGGAGCCCGACGTGGGACTTGATCCCGGGACTCCAGGATCACACCCTGGGCCAAAGGCAGGTGCTGAACCGCTGGGCCACCCAGGGATCCCAACCTGCTGTTTTCTTTGGCGAAGCTTGGCTCGGTCTTCCCGGCCTTCTCATGGGCTTCCTCTTTATCTGGAGGGTTTGACTCTCGCTCATCGTTTGAGTCGCTAAAGTAAGAAACGAGGTGTTTTATAAAAGAAATAGTACCAACAACCCCGAGGCCTGAGGCCCGCCCCTGAGAAGTCGCTCTGAGAAGCCAGGGAGGCATTTACCTGAAAGCCTGAACGATGACAGTGCCGAAGAGGATGAAGAGGGCGGAGAAGACCAGGGAGAGAAGGGGCATCATCTCCCGCCTGAAACGAAGTTAAGCTCTGGTCAGCTCTAGAAACGCTGCTGCGGTCTGTCCAATGATGACATTAGGTTTCTTCTCCTCGGCTCAAACAAAACCAAGAACCCAAACCGAAAGGCTTTCATATCAATAAACACTTTCTAGTTTCATTTAATAAAGGTTTTTCTTTGAGGGTGAGGGTGGTGGTGGGGGAAGCAGAGGCTTTTCCCTCACTGTTTTTTTTTTTTTAAAGATTTTTTTTATTAATTTACTCACGAGACACACACACACACACACACACACACACACAGAGTCAGAGACACAGGCAGAGGGAGAAGCAGGCTCCATGCAGGGAGCCCGATGTGGGACTCGATCCCCGGTTTCCAGGATCACACCCTGGGCTGAAGGCGGCGCTAAACCGCTGAGCCACCCGGGCTGCCCTCCCTCACTGCTTTCATTCAGATTGCTTATTCTAGAAGTTTGTCTCAATGTAATAGGCTGTGCTTAAGTTCCGTGGAAGGAAATACAGGATTTACATTGTGAATGTGAAAGAACATTCTGACGTCAAGGATGGTTTCAGTGATTAAAAAGTCTGTGGAATTATTTCCTTTGATTTTTTTTTTCCCCTGGCTGGAATAAATCAGACATGGCCCTGGGGGCGGAGGAGGAAGAACAAACTGACCTTCCACGGTGCCGTCTAGGACTGGGGCTCTAAAATTTTATTCACCCATAAACACGCATCAAAGGCCTGCTATTTTTTAGGAGCTGTGCTGGGTGCCAGGAATCACAAACATGAATGAGATGCGGTTCTACCCTTCGGGAGCTCACAGTATCACTGGGGGTGGGAGTGGGATAGCACTCCCTCGTCTGGCTAGCTCACCGACTGGCTTGGACACCTCTGCACTGGCCTCCATGTGGGTCAGGCCCTGGGCTGGGTGCCAGGGGTGCTCTGATGAAGAGGACATGCCCAGGGGGAGAGGGTCCATTAGCAACTATGTAAAAAATGAAGTTACTGAAAGAAAGAAAAGGCTGTGGGGAGGAAGGGCGCCTGGCTGGCTCAGTCGGTTAAGCGACTGCCTTCAGCTCAGGACATGATCCCGGGGTCCTGGGATTGAGCCCCACATAGCATCAGGCTCCGTGCTCAGCAGGCAGCCTGCTTCTCCCTTTCCCTCTGCCCCACTCCCCCTGTTGCCTCACCTCCCCCACGGCTTGTGCTCTCTCTCTGATAAATAAATAAAATCTTAAAAAAAAAAAAAGAAAAAAAAGAAAAAAGGACCAGTTGTAGAAAATGTGTAAACATTCTTCCACTTGCCTGTGTTGCATAGACACTGAAATCAAAGAAACCTAGACTCTTTTCAAGAGAAAAACTGTGGTTCTACTATCAAATCAATGGAGAAGAAGAAATTCAAATAGGGACCTCCCCTCACCAAAAAAAAGAAAGAAAAAGAAAGAAAGAAAGAAAGAAAGAAAGAAAGAAAGAAAGAAAGAAAGAAAGAAAGAAGAGGAGGAGGGACGAGGAAGAAATTCAGTCTAGCAATATTCCTACCAGTTGTTGTGAAATATGCTGTCCCAGCAGTCTGAGATGTAGTCCGAAGCGGAGTAGAACCACCGGAGGAGAAAGATCTGTTGAGGGAGAAAATGCCAGTCAGGATGGAGCCCCCGAGCCCAGGTGGGAGAAGTCCTCGCCTGACACGGGGCTCGTCCGCCTCAGCAGCCCTGCCTGCCACCCCGTCTCCCGGGCCACATGCTTACAGGGGCAAGCTCATCGGTCAGGTCGGGGAGCACAGCTTCCGAGGACAGCAGAGCAGGGTCTCTGCGCAGCTGGTCCAGATAGCCCAAAAGCGTGAGTTTATCGCTCTCACTCCCTGTCCAGGGAGCCTCGAGGGTTTTATACACCACCCTTCCTCCTGTGGTGCGCCTTTCCAAGATCGACACCTAGGGGGAAAAGAGAGGAAACCATTAGAGAAGTCTTTAAGTTTGTTTTTTCTTCGGGGAGGATGGGAAAAAGGATCCAATGCAGTTAGCAATAAGCTTGAGCACAAATACAGATGGGTATAAAATACGCGCAAGAGATTGTAGTTATTTTCTGACAAAGGAAACTATGTTTATGATGACTTTCCAAAGCTTCTAAAAGTTAAAGCTCTTTCTTATGAGTAGACTCTTCCCTATAAGCTCTGACTTAATATCTATAAGAAGGAACTTTTGTTTTTTTAGAGAGATTTTCCATGATTACCAAAATGATGACAAAGACACAGAATTTAATGCTTCTGTAGAGTGATGACAAAAGAGGGGAAGGGAAGGAGAGAGCAATCAAAATGAAGTGAAATGAAAGAAGCAGAAGTAAAGGAGAGAGATTTTACTGGTAGCCCAAGGAAGATTTTACACACTAAGTACTCATAGGAAAGATGTTTTCTGTGAAGGTCGAAGGCTGAAAATCTAGGAGGTGAAATCACCAGGGTTTCAAAACTGTTTCAAGATTAGGCTTTCCAAACAGGCTCAGAGATTTCTGGATTTCCTGAAATCTGTACTCAAAACACCCAAAGAAAGAGGAAACAGCATTCAGGTGCCACAAGCTTGTCAAGAACTTGGAAGAAGAGAATCCATGACTCACCGCTGATTTTCCTTGAAACGTATCACTGTCTGGTACTAAGGTGTTGGCAAACTCCTGCTGCCGGTTGCTGTACACGTGCACGAATCTCACTGTGTCTTTTGTGTTTGCCAGGGCAAAGGACAGGAAAGCATCAAAGGGTTTGCTCAACTTGGCAGCCTCGGCAGTCAGTAAAACCACACAGTACCTGCACAACGACAGAAGACTTTCTAATCAGTCTCCGAGGCCGAGGCTGGACCCCGTGACGGTAAGAGAAGGTGAAGAGGAGGCGCATCGTTCTAGAGAAGTGAATACATCTTACTGATGGAAGCTGCACAGTGGCAGTCTCTCATGAGAGCAGCTTTCCAAATCATCAATGACTTGCTTCTTCTCCCGACTGGTGATACCTTCCCCAAACCAAACTTTATCACACTTAGGAATTTCTTTTAGGCAATGGCCTCTGAATCCTTGATGCAGAAGGGATTTCAGAAGCCACCTGTTATTCTGTTTCCATCACAGACCGGGCTGGTCAATCCTATCTCGGGTCAGAGGTCTCTGAACCTCACTCTGAAGGGCTTCCTTTGCAAAGGCAAGTTTAGCTAATCAGTCATTCAGTTTCCCAAATATTTAGGGAACGCTTACTATGTGCCAGGTAAGACGGACAACGTTCTTGCCCTGGTGGAGCTTATATTCTGGTAGGGAAGACAGACAACAAATAAATACATAGTGACAAGTGTTATGAAAAAGAAGAGGAGAAAGAGTCCAGGGTGGGGTGGGAGTCCTGCTCCATCAGACAGATTGCTCAGGGACATGTCACCTCTCAGATAGCAAAGACCTGAATGGGGTGCCATACGGGGAAAGGGATCAGGGCGTTCCAGGCAGAGAGAACTGTGAGCGTGAAGACCCATCAATGGAGAGAGACTGGACCCAATGCATCTTCTAGCAAGCTCACTGGCTGCTGTGTGAACTGCCTGGAAGGCATAAGAGGGGAACGGAATGGAAGCAGAGTCTGGTAAGAAGGCTAGCACAGTTGCTCTCCAAAGGCGACAGTGGTTAAAAAAAAAAAAAAAAAAAAAAAGGTGAGAACTGCAATGGATCTGGGCTATTTTCTGAAGGCCGTGCTCATCACAATTCTTAGAGTCCCTGATATTCTTCTTTATATCAAATTAAAGTCTTTCTTCTCTCTTGGTCTTATAAAGGCATCAGAAAAATCTGGAAACATGGGGAATGTCTCACTTTAAACAATATCTTAGTTATATTTTTCAAATAAGATGACCAGGATGCTTTCCTTCCTTCCAAATCTAGACACATTTCACAATGATACTGCCCTATATTCAGGGCACCTGGGTGGCTCAGTGGTTGAGCGTCTGCCTTTGGCTCAGGTTGTGTTCTTGGGGTCCTGGGATCAAGTTCCGCACTGGGCTCCCCATAGGGAGCCTGCTTCTCCCTCTGCCTATGTCTCTGCCTCTCTGTGTCTCTCATGAATAAAATCTTAAAAAAAAAAAATAGCCCTACATTTAAAGCCATTGATTCATTAATCTGAAGGATCTCTAACAAATATTTTCCCTGCATTGCTAGACTTTTTAGTTACTATGTATGAATATGCCTCAGCCTTCCCATTTCTAGCTAATCATTTGAACCTTTCCTCGGTGTCCTACTTCCCTAGGGTTAGCACATTCCCAGCTCTCATCCCTGGCCTCTGAAGGCTTGGCCTGCCTGGGACACTCTAGTAGGAGCAATGACTCGCTCAGATCCATGCTTCTTTAAAGTGAGCCAGCCTCTCCCCAACAGCTAGCTAAAGGCTACTTACCCTTCTGGCCTAAGCTAAAAGGTTTATGAATTAAGGAAATCTTCTCTGCCCCTGGGCCAGGCTGGCACCCTGGATTTATACCCCCCCCCCACTACTAGTAAAGAGTGAATTCTGATGTCACAGGTAGACTTTTCATTGCCCTTTTAGAGAAATGCGACGTGGCCTCTCACTGCAGTGACAAGCAGAGGCAAAGCCTGGAGTCCTTACTTCCTCTGCCGGTGAGACCGTTTCACGGGGCAGAGTTCATGGAACAATCTCTGGCTGGTGAGCCTGGCTGCCAGCAGATACTTGTTTTGTGTGATGAAGTCGTCAATGACCTGTTTCTTCATACCTCGGGCCTGCAGGAAAAAAACAAGAAACAATTGATTTTTATTCACTTTTCTCATTGGAAATGGGCTTTACTTTAGAAGCTTAAAAAAACAATGTAGCTGTACCATGATATTGTAACAGTCTGGTATGCGGACAGATGGGAGCTACACTTGTGGTGAGCACAGGATACAGAGAAGCTGAATCACTATCCTGTATACCCGAAACTAATGTCACATTGTATGTAAACTAGACTCAAAGAAAAAAATTATGAAAAAAAAAAAAGAACAGGAAAAAAATGTGGCTGACCCCGGCTAAAGTCAACAATACAACAAATAAGACACAACTGTTTGGACACATAAAACTGGTGATCTCTTTCCACAGTGTAGGGTTGGAAGCAATGATGGAGCTATTTCAGGTCAAAGGAAAATCAAGTGCCCTTTCCACTGCAGAATTTTTGTATATGGCTTTATGCTGGCAGCTTTAAAAAGTCATTTTTTAAAAAAGATTTTAAGTATTAGGCTCCACACCCAACGTGGGGCTCAAACTCATGACCCCAAGATCCAGAGTCACATGTCCTACCAACTCAGCCCAGCCGGGCATCCCTAAAAAGTCATTTTCAATTTCAGGCAAACTGATTTCCACTTATGATTGGCAGCAAACTGAATAATTAAAAAACTCCAAAGTAACAAAATTACTAGGTATAAAAGGCAGACTACAAAACTATGATGGCCACTTTGTTATTCCTAATTTTTGTACATTTTGAAGGACTGAAGTTATATATACAGTAGGTTGTCTGTATCAACTGTTAACTAGAAAATCCCTATATGTTAAGGAACACACTCTGAATAACCTAGTTATCTAAGAAGAGCCTATCAGACATTAATACTCTGATTTTTTAAAAAAAGTATTTATTTGAGAGAGACAAAGAGAGACACAGAACAAGTGAGAAGGACAGAGGGAGAGAGAGAAGGAATCTCAAGGGGACTCTGCTGAGCATGGAGCCCGACACGGGGCTCGATCCCAGGACCCTGAGATCATGACCTGAGCCAAAACCAAGAGTCAGATGCTTAACCAACTGTACCACTCAGGCATTCCATGAATTTGAAGGACCCATGAAAGTACTATTTATAAACCCTGGAGTGAAAATAAAGCCATACTTGGAGGATAATGTTACAGTGAATAAAACAGAAATTAATGACCTAGATGCCCATATCAAGAAGTTAAAAAGGAATAGCAAAAAATATGAAAGGGGGAAGAAGGGAATAATAAAGATAAAAACGGAGATCCACAAAGCAAAAACAGACATAGAAAAAGAAGAAGAAACAAAGAATTAACAAAGCCAAAACTGGCTCTCTGGGAGAGCTAATAAAATTGACAAACCTCTGGTAAAATCCATCATACAAACAAGAGAGAAAGCACAAATAACCATTATCAAAGATGACAAGCAGGAATCACCATCTGTGTTGTAAAAGTTAAAAGAAAAAGTCATTTAGATTTGAAAATTTAGATGATATAGAAAAACTTCTAGAATAATAGAGCAGTATCTGAAAAAAACAGAAATCTTAAATAGTTGTGTAACCGTTAAAGAAGGTGAACCAGTGGCAGAGATCTTTCCTTAAACACAAACTCAAGGCCCAGATGGTGTTACAGATGGTTTTGATGAAACTTTCAAGAGGACAATCCAATCTTACATAAAGTCTTCCTGAGAATAGAAAAAGGGAGAACGCACCCACCTCCCTTCATGATGCAAAGCCTCACATGGGGATCAGGAGAAAGAAAAGTCAGAAGTCAACCTCACTTCTGAACACAAATGCAAAAAATCCTCAACAAAATGTTATTAGCAAACTGAATTCAGCAATCTGTTGAAAGCATAATACAAGTTATGATCCTGTTGGACTTATCTGATGAACTCAAATTAGGTTTAATATTAGAAAATGAACTATTGTATTTAGCACATTTTTTTTTATTTAGCACATTTTAGAAGATGAAAGATAAAGAAGAAAATCAGGATAATCTCAACAACTGCGGAAAAAACCGTTTGATAAAAAACAGTATCATTTAGGTCAACAATGAATAGAAGGGAACTTCCTTAACCTGATGAGGGTGGCTGCAAAAGGTCTTCTGCAAACATCATACTTACTGGGGACATGGAAATCAAGAACAAGGATGCCCTCATCACTACCTTTCTTTCTTTTTATTTTTATTTTTTTAAATTTTTATTTATTTATGATATGATAGGCACACAGTGAGAGAGAGAGAGAGGCAGAGACACAGGCAGAGGGAGAAGCAGGCTCCATGCACCGGGAGCCCAACGTGGAACTCGATCCCAGGTCTCCAGGATCACGCCCTGGGCCAAAGGCAGGCGCTAAACCGCTGCACCACCCAGGGATTCCCCTTTCTTTCTTTTTAAAAAGATTTCATTTATTTATTTTGGCGGGGGGTGGGGGGGAGAGGGAGAGGGGGAGAGGGAGGGGGAGAGAGAGGGATAAAGGGAGAGAGAGGGAGAGAGAGGGAGAGAGAGGGAGAGAGAGGGAGAGAGAGGGAGAGAGAGGGAGAGAGGGAGAGAGAGGGAGAGAGAGGGAGGGAGGGAGAGAGAGGGAGAGAGAGAGAGAATATGCATGTGTGCTTGCACATATGAGCTGGGGTGGGGGGGGTGGGCAGAGGAAGAGGGAGAGAGAATCTCCAGCAGACTCCCTGCCGAGTATGGGACCTGACATGGAGCTCAATCCCACGACCCTGAGATCATGACCTGAGCCAAAATCAAGAGTCAGACACTCAACTGACTGAGCCCCCCAGGCACTCCTCTCCCATTACTACAGTTCTATTCCATGTCACACCAGAGGTCAGCAGTAACGTAAGAAAAAGGAATAAAATAAGGGCTGAATAAAAAAGAAGCAAAACTGCCATTAATCTCAGATGATATGATTGTGTATTTAGGAAACCCAAACGATGGTACAGATAAATTATTTAAATCAGTAACAGGGGTTTAGCAAGATTGCTGGACACAAGTCAGTGTTAAAAAATCCAATTGTAGGGACACCTGGGGGGCTCAGTGGTTGAGCATCTACCTTTGGCTCAGGTCGTGATCCCAGAGTCCTGGGATGGAGTCCTGCATCAGGCTCTCTGCATAGAGTCTGCTTCTCCCTCTGCTTATGTCTCTGCCTCTCTCTGTGTCTCTTGTGAATAAATAAATGAAATCTTAAAAAAAAAATTCAACTGTATTGGGGCGCCTGGGTGGCTCAGTCAATTGAGTGTCTAGCTCTTCATTTTGGCTCAGGTCATGATATCAGGGTTTTGGGACTGAGACCTGTGTCAGGTTCTGTACTCAGAGGGGAGTCTGCTGGTGATTCTCTCTCCCTCTGTGCCTCCCTCCACTGACAAGGACACACTCTCTCTTTAAAAATAATAAATAAATCTTAAAAAAAATCAATTGTGATAATACCAACAAACAGAAAATGTAGTAAAAAAGATACCTTTCAACAGCATAAAACAAACAAACAAACAAACAAACAAACAAACAAACAAACAAGGTACCTAAAAATAAACTGGAAAAAAAGTACAATCTTTATGGAGAAAATGATAAAAGCTTATAGAAACATATTACAGAGCACCTAAACAAAGGAAAACAGATACACGACGCTCATAGGTTGGAAGGCTCAATTTTGTCAAGATGCGTATTCTCCTCAAACTGATTTAAAGAGTCAATACACATCCAATAAAATCCCAACATGTTTGTTTTGATGGAACTTGACTGACAGAATGTAGTATGTATACAAAACGTACAAAAGACCAATAGCAGCCAAGATGCTTTTGAAAAAACTCCCATCCTCCTAAAATCCAAAAAACAAAGCAGGAGGGTTTACTCTGTGATTATCAAGACCATTTCCAGGGGAATCCCTGGGTGGCTCAGCGGTTTAGTGCCTGCCGTTGGCCCAAGTGTGATCCTGGAGTCCTGGGATCGAGTCCCACATCGGGCTCCCTGCATGGAGCCTGCTTCTGCCTCTGTCTGTGTCTGTGCCCCCCCCCCCCCGTCTGTCTCTCATGAATAAATAAAAATCTTAAAAAAAAAGACCATTTCCAAATAGTTAATACCTAAGTATAAAAGGTAAATTATAAAGAAGCCCCGTGAAGGGATTATCTTTATTGTCTTGACCTAGGGGAAGATGTCTTAAATAGTAAACAAACAGAACCAATCAATCAGAAAAGAAAAATGTTGATACGAATGAATACATTAAAAGTAAGAACATATGTTCATCAAAAAGACACCAAATACAAGAATATCTTCACAGCATCACTGGTCAAATCACTAAAAACTGGGAAGAGCCAAATGACTGCCTGCGGGAGCTGGAAGAGACAAACTGTAGTATATTCATGCCAAACTCCACAGACAACGTGTACGAACCCCATACATCAGCGGACAAAAGCCAGACACAGAGGTATACACTGCAGGACTTCAGTTGTATAAATAACTGGCTACAAATCATTAGCAAAAAGGCAGACAGTTCAATAGAAAAAAAAATGGGTAAAACACTTGACAGTCATGTCACAAAAGGGGAAATCCAAAGGCCCATAATCAGTTTGTGATTAAGGGAAATGCAAAGCACAATCACAATGAGATACCATTAGAGAACTCAGAAAAACGAAATTGAGGGATGCCTGAGTGGCTCAGCGGTTGAGCATCTGCCTTTGGCTCAGGGCGTGATCCCTGTCTCCCTGTCCTGGGATTGAGTCCCACATCGGGCTCCCTGCGTGGAGCCTGCTTCTCCCTCTGCCTATGTCTCTGCTCTCTCTCTGTGTCTCTCATGAATAAATAAATAAAACCTTAAAAAAAAAGAAACCAAAACGAAATTGAACTGGTGTTGGCAAGAATGTGGAGCAATGAAACTTTCGCACACGGCTGGTGGAAATGTAAACTGGTAACATCACTCTGGAAAACAGGTTATCCAGAAAAGCTGGTGATGTGCAGACCCCACGACCCAGCAGTTCTGCAACCAGACATACTCTAGAAGCAATGGTTCTCAAAACTTTT